TCACCACTTTAGTCCAGAGGTTCATGTTCCCCAGGGGTAAAAGCCTACAGACTTTGGTGATCCCTGGGGATTTCATGTTTTGCCATGACAGTCATCCTTGTCATTTTTGACTTTTAGTGACATGTCTTGACAATTATGTGATGGATTACCTTGAAATCATTCATGCTCCCCAAAGGTTGAAGCCTACAGACACTGGTGATCTCCTGACTTATCTCGTTTTTCCACTGTAAGGTTGACATTTCTGGCATTTAGTGACTTGACAATTGTTTGATGGATTGCCATGAAACTTGGTGCATGCACTTGGTTTATGGTTCCCAGAGGTTGAAGTCAGACAACGGCAGTCATTCCCTGACTTTTCCTCCAGCACCACCATGAGATAAATATTGATTGGATTGTCATGAAATCTGGTGTAGACATTCATGTCCCCCAAAGATTGAATCCTACAGACTTTAGTGATCCTGACTTTACCTTAAGTGCCACCACGAGTTTGAAATTTTTTACTTTTAGTGACATGTCTTGACAGTTATTTTCTATGGATTATCAGGAAATTTGGTGCATATATGATTCATGCAGATTCATGGTTCCCAGAGGTTAAAGCCTAATGAGTTTTTCTTACTTTTTCTGCAGTGCCACCATGAGGTTTCCACAACTATAGGATGGATTATCATGAAATTTGGAACATACATTCATGTTACCCACAGGATAAATTGTAATAACTGTGGTTATCCCGCTGTCCAACTTTTCATCCGACCAAACTTCCAAATTTTGAATATTTTGTTCATAACGAAAAACCTGCTAAACAAATGGCATTCCCATCAGCCTCTTCTGTAGCCTACTTTGTGTTTAATGCTAGTTATTAAATGTTAGCATGCTAACAAGCCAAACTAAGACGGTGAACATTGTGAGTATGTTAGCATGCTGATATTAGCATTTAGCTCAAAGCACCACTTGGTTTAAGTTCAGCTCCACAGAGCTGCTAGCATGGCTGTAGACTCTTATTTATTTTAGTTTGAATGTTAATGGTCTTCCTCTGTGGCCAGTAAGGCATCTTTAACACACTATTGATCACAAGTGAATCCTGAATTTTATATTAATTCTTTCAGGAAGTAAAAGCTGCAAGGAAACAGAGGTCCAACTGTAGAGAAGTTCCCTTATAGCTCAGACTTTGGGGGAGCATATGTCAGATGGCAGGGAGTCTTGTAAGTGTGTGCTTGCATGGGGATTAGTGTTGGGGGTCAACGGGGTGGTGGGTGCAGTCTGAGGCTTGTAAACTCCTCTGTGTATGTAAACCGAGCCTGAAATAATCCTGGGTCTCCCCCCTGGTTACTCCGGGAGCATAAAGGACATCATAAATCCACCTCAAGTCTCACATATACAGACTACCATGCTTCATTCTGTCTTGGGAAACTTCTGTTCATGATAACTGCTTAAATCCGTCTGTCTGGGAACAGTGAGCAGACATCTGGCCGTATGTTGTGACAAATACCAGGTACATTAATAGAATCAGACTTGCCCAGACTTGTTTTAGATCTACTAACCCACATTTAAGGGCAGCTTTGGATAAATTGAGACCCACTAGTAGGTACTGTGTAACCACCAGGCACGTGATGCAAACACACTGGAGCTAAGAAAGGTCATAGGTTAAGTGTCCAGGTCTTCAAAGCTCCGTATCTCCCCAGCTGGTTCGAATTGTTTCAGCTCCAAAGTGTTTTCCAACAATATTCCTGTCAGTGAGGAATTAGTCTGTGCAACTGGCCAGCAAATGTTTGACCCCAAAACTTCGGACTTGCCTGTTTGTCTTAAATCCTTACGTCAAACATGAGTCTCGTCAAAGTACCTCTGGGACGTCAGTGGTCTTTTTTTATGAGGGGGTGGGAAGGGTTTCAAAAATGTCCAGCTAGTGAATGTGAGTCTGCATCTGTTCCTGCATCTGTTCATGGTGAGGCAACGAGAACGGCTTGTGATTCATAAAATTAATTTTGGTCCAAATCCACAGAGGCTGTCTGTGCCTGTTCTTATGATCTCATCTGTTTTACACAGTCCAAACATTCTCGACATTAGCTCACACACACACCACCCTGTACTGTAACAGAGACCACAGATCTGGGTCATTTTCTCTGCTGGAAAAGAAGAAGGGGGAAAAAGAGAACTGTTGTTGATATCTCTACAGGATGACAAAGATCAAAGTTTGTGTAATGCTCTTACTCGCTCACACACTCGCTAGGATGTGACCACAAGGGACAGCCGTGGCTCCCGCGACCCTCGCTGCAAGGGCATACCATAGGGGCGCTGAGAGATGGAAACCTCGCAGTGTGGGCAGCACACGTGTCAACAGCGGCCCCCGGATCCCTCTGCTGCTCTGCCAAACACTGGTTGGAGAATGACTAAGAGACTCCCGAGAGGCAGTGCAGGAAAAAACTCAAAGGGAAGAAACAACTGTCAGTTTGGGCCCAGAGCTGTATTTATAACATGAACACAAAGGCCTGTAATGCAGTCCAACTTCTGTGTTTTAATCTATGTACTGCTTAAATGTCTTTCATAGATACAATCTACAACTTTTCATAACTTGAAAAGAAGTAGTCATTGACTGTTTGAATCTCTCGAGATCTTTCAGGAATCCTAAGGGCTCAAGATAGGTATGATGAAAAGGGTCTTTATTTTCTTACTGTGTTGTCCATTTACTGGAGTCTGTGGTTTTGTCATCAAAAGAAGGCAGGAACTTGAGAAAAACAGAAAACAAGGTGTGAAAATGAGGCCCATAATTTGGATGTAATTTTTGTATTAGTGAAATAGGCCGGTTGTAATTCCGTCAGAGACACAAGGACTAGACCTTTTATAGCAAATGGTTATACAATGGAACAGGCTCTCCTATTAAGGGGTGATTCAAGGACTTTCTGCTTAGAGAAGTAATCCACCATACAAGGAGTAGTGTGACATGAAATACACCTACTCACTGAGAGTTAGCCTAGCTTAGCATAAGGACAGGAAGCAGGGAGAAAAGGCTGTATCCAAAGTTAAAAAATACAAAACAGTGATAGCACCCAACTTTTCATAAAGCAACCCATTATTTCAGTGTGTCTTTAAAGTGTTGGCAGGGACATCTTTATACCTCAGAGCTGGTGACAGTTGTGGTTGGAGGCATTTTTTTTTTTGGGTCGTCTGTCCGTTCATCCGTCTGTCCATCCCTTCATCCATCTATCTGTCTGTCTATCCCATTCTTGTGAACACGATATCTCAACAACACCTAAAGTGAATTTCTTCAAATTTGGCACAAACATACTCTTTGACTCAAGAATGAACTGATTACATTTTGGTGGTCAGAGGTCAAGGTCACTGTGACCTTGAATCCGTCTCATTCTTGTAAATGTGGTATTTCACCGGTTTCTCTGTTGGTGACATTAATCTTGGGTGTCCACTTTGAAACTGTGCTAATAGTATAGATCTTCTGTGCTGCCGGGTCAAAGATGTGTTTAAAACATCCATGTTTTACAATTTGCAGCTTCTTTGTAGCAACATCCACATGTGAGACATTGTCAGCTGTCATCGCTCCATATGAGTCTGGACAGACATTGATGTAAACTGTAACTGCAACTTCACTGTTTGGCAGATGCGTATAATCGTGAGGCGGTAATTCTAGTCTTTATTTATGTAAAGCTAAGCTAATTGCTATCATTTCTTTCAACTCTTTTGCATGTGACCTAACTGGCAAGAAATGGAATAAGCTATTTCAAAATATTGAACCATTTCTCCCCAAAACAGTTCTTTCATCAGCTTCAGAAGTTGCCTACTTAACGCTAGTAGGCAAGTGTTAGCATGCTAATATACTTCATTTAGACGGTACACATGTTAAACATTATACCTGCCAAATATCAGCATGTTAGCATTGTCATTGTGAGCATGTTAGCATTTAGCTCAAAGCACCACTATGCCGAAGTACAGCCTCACAGCTGCTAGCATGGCAGCAGACTCGTTGTTTTCAGTTAGCACTTCCCATCGCAACTTTGTATCTAGCATTTAGCGACATCTGTTTTGTAACTTTTTTTTGCTGATAAAATTTGAGCTTCTCTTTATCGGCTCTTTTTTTGTTTTATGCCCCGAAGGCTGTCACTACTCATGCAAACCTCTGTTCCTGTTGCCTGAAACTCACTGTCTGTGCACTACAGGATTTGCAGTGTGAAGACTTTCTTGACATTCAGCAAGTGTAAAAAAAAAAATCATGAACTGGTTATAGCTTTAATCACTGCTGCAGAACAGCAGTCAGCACTAAGCAAGATATTTTTGTGACCCTGTGACAAATTTGGGTGTATTGTGTGTCGGTTGTGTAGGCCTTGGTGAAAGACGTTGCCTTTTTATGAACTGACACCATTCGCAGCTTCCTCATTGTACTGTAGTGTCACTGACTCAGCAGTGCAGCAGGGGTGGATGTCTCTGAGGTTATCAGCGGTCATGTGACAGCTGGACAAGCTGTTGTGTTATCAACCGTTGGCTGACCCCGGGTCAGCTGTGTGGGCTGCTTAATGAGAGGCCTCTGGCTTGTTTTTCTCTCTGTCTGCATCCGCTTCTCATCCCGCTGTTCCCACCTCCGTCTCCACTTCCACACACACAAACCAAGGCATGCTTAATGTTTTCTCTAGTTTTCATCTTCACAACCTCAGTCATGAAGATACACTGGGAGTAGAGAACATGAGTGTCCTGATCACAATCCTTACACATAAACACACTGAAAACAGAAGAGGCCCACTTCAAATGAACACATCCCCACACAACTCATTAAACCCTCTCCTGAAGATCGACACCAGAAGCTTCCCTTCCTCCTCTCTCTGCTCCTCCTCCACATGTCTGCTTTTCCAAATATGACAGAGGAGAAACAGGAGAGCTGCACTTCCTCAAACAAAACAAAAATGACTGATCATCTTCAAGCTTCTTTTATACATGCAATTACATTTTATACATGCAATTAAAGCACTCACCCCCTTCTGTCTCTCTGTTTTATTTCCTAGGTGTGTCTGATGTGACGCCAGCGGGCTGGCTTAGGGAGCACAACTTCAATACAATGTAGACACCAAAAACCAGACAGAATAAGAGTCTGAAGACCAAGCGGACAGAAGGAGGGTGAGTTCAAGGAGGAGGAAGAACAGCTGTGCTGAAACAACACCAGGAGATAAGAAGTGAAAGAAGCAGAGAAAAAGAGAGGGAAGCGGCAGACTGTGAATCATTGACGTGAACCTTCTGTGTACAGCAGCGTCACCTACTCATTCCTGTGAAGTGTTCACTCACTCTCACATCTCCACTGGAGAAGGATCACAACCTCAGATCTCCGTCTTTTGAGGGCCTCACGCTCCACCTTTCCACCTCTCAGCAGTGCTAAGAACCTGAACAGAGGGAGCCCCCAGCCACCGTCAGCATGTGCCATGTCATTGTCACCTGCCGCTCCATGCTGTGGACTTTGCTGAGTATTGTGGCCGCCTTTGGAGAGCTCATCGCCTTCATGAGCACTGATTGGCTGGTAGGATACCCTCGAACCCCTGATGCTGTCTTCGGCCCCCATGGGGCCACCACAGCCGGAGAAGCCTACAGACCAACTTTAGGAATCTATGGCCGCTGTATAAAACTGCCCCACCTGAAGCGTGGAATACTGTGCGGACCGTACGCGATACACTTTGGGGAGATTGCCAGCGGGTTCTGGCAGGCTACTTCTATCTTCCTGGCGGCAGGGATCCTGCTGCTGTGTGCTGTGGCGTTCATCTCGGTCTTCACCATGTGCTTCCAAAGCATCATGAAGAAGAGCATCTTCAACGTGTGTGGACTGCTGCAAGGGATTGCAGGTGAGATGTGCACACAACACGTATATTTTAGTTTTTGGTGCATATTGTTGATCAAAAGAATGATTACTTCCCGCCACAACATTTGAATGCTCCCTGAACAACTGTGAAATAATAGAAATTAACAATAAAAGCCCTGTCGTCAGAAACCCCCAAAACAAAACAACCAAAAAAAACAAAACAGTGGTCACTATTTTCTTACTGTCTGCACATCTGTCTTGCTCAGACTGGATCCCGTATTCATAGTGTCAGTTATCACAGGAGGGACTGGCTCCGCTGCATCTGCGGCTACTGATCGTGGCCATTTTGTTTCAAAAATCAAAGTGAAAAACTTGGTATTGGTAAATTACCTCATGTGGTCACTAATAGATGAACATGAGGGTTTAATGTCCAGCAGACAAGAATAATTTCAACGGCAGCCACCATTTTCTTTATGTCTGCACATATATCTTGTGCAAGACGAGATTCTGTTTTGTTAATAGTCTCAATGTGTGAAAGGAAAGTATATAAATTTAATCTGATTTGGTAAAATGTGTGAGAGACTAGAAGGGGAAGCAACTGATTTTTTGAACACTTAACTCATTGTAGTGGTGACTCAGAATCCTCCAGAGATTTGAAGCTTTATATGGGGAAGTGACTTCCTGGTAAATGCTAGCACTCAGTGTGTGTGTGTGTGTGTGTGTGTGTGTGTGTGTGTGTGTGTGTGTGTGTGTGTGTGTGTGTGTGTTTCTACAAATTTTATTGGGGGCCCACTGAAATGAGCACTTGTGGGACTCATTACACTGAAAACCTATCAACATAACTGCTCTTCATAATTGTCCATGTAGACCCAGACAAGAAAAATGTGCTTGTGTTTTGCACTCTGATCTAAAGAGAACAGAGAGATCTTAAACCTAACTCAGTCCCTCTAACCTTTAATTGTTCCTCTTCATTCCTGTGGCGTCCACCGTTCATCAAGGTAAATGAAAAGTTTCAGCCGAACACATTCATTACGAGCACCACAACTCCCACTGCTAGAATTATGTTTGATTCTCATGGAGCCTTCTGTGAACTTTTACCCCAAGTGGTCAGAAGTTTAAAACACATGGTGGCTTGTTTCCACCCTCAGAGCTGTCACTCAGAGCAACTGCCACCCAAATATTTACTTTCTACCCATTCAGCTGGAGCTTTTCTTACTCTTGATTCACCTTTAAAAAGGTGAGTTGACAGCGCATGCGTATCTCCATTTGTGTGTGAAGGGTGTGTATCCATGGTTGTGTTGTCTGAGGCCAAATCTCGGGCCACTTTGACTCACTGTGGTGAATTATGGAAGGGAGGAGGCCATGAGATCATGCTCGCTGAACCTCCTCTTTTTTTCACAGACTGTAGCTCTTAGCTCTGTGGTAATTATGACTGTCCTCCCCCACAGTTGTTTATTTGGTGCAGGCCCAAACAGAAAAAGGTGGGCGTCTGGTGAAGGACATGCCAAGCTGTAACCCCAGCTCTGTGCAGGCCTGCTGACCTGAAAGAGAGCTTAAATCTGTAGTGAATCATGAATGGCTACTGGAAGGCTCTCTTTACTCTAAAAGCCTGAGACAGCTTAATGTGACTGTTTATTCAGGGCACAAAAAAAGTTTTAGTCTTTATTCTGCACAGTTTCTTCACATATCTGACTACAGCTGCAGGAGTTAGCTGCAAGGTTAAGCGATATGACAATATGTACAATTGGATTTTATAAATTTGTAACTGCCCCTTTAATACTGTATCTTTGGTATGTTAGGCAATTATGTGCAATGTTGCAAATCAAAGAGCAGGACTCCTTAAAGTCAATTTTAGAGTTTTATATTATTTTCAGACACTGTTTTGCCAAAGGATGACTAAGTAGGCTACATTTGGTTTAGCTTTTGAGCTTTGAGGAGTGTGACACGAAAGTATTGTATTTAGCTAGTCATGGAGAAACTATGAGTGCTTTGGACATAGTGGACGTACAGCTGAGAAGTGATTCATGCTGCAGGAGTGGTTTCAGAGGTTTTTTGTTGCATTGACTCTAGGTTTCTACTAGGATCTATTGTAACTGTGTGAAAACAAGCAGAGTAACTGTTTGATGTGATCCTCAGCTTCAGAGCCACCTTTGAAGCTGTTAGTAATTGAAATTCAACTGACTTTTGGTGGAATATTAAGTTAGTTTGACCAGTATGACCCTGTACTTAGCCCCTCAGCCTTGTTGCTATGCCTGTCAAGCTTCCTGTTCTCGCTCATGCAATTTGTAGTAACTTTTGACTACTTAACACCTTGCAATAAAGTGCAATTTAGGGGATCATATTGCAGGTGTAAATGCAACCAAAACGCATTGAGGATGGATTGTAATCTGATTGGTCAAACCACCTCCGGAGGCGCTCAGGGATGGGCTGTAATCACATTGAACACATGTGTAATGCAATCCACAAACAACAACTATGTGGACGGAAATACATAATTGTGCATGACTCTCCCAACCCAGCGAGGTAGCAGCGGCTTGTCTCCCTCTCATCTGATGCTAACACTGCTGAAGTGTCTCCCTCATCTGTAATATATCCTTTCTGTCAGTAACTGTCTTTACAATCAGGTAGGCCTGTTTCATCCTCGTCAAGTTTGTCTTCACCTTCTACATCGTTCTGACTGTCTCTGATAGACAACAAAGAAAACTACAGACTAGAAATATATACTATACTATAGAGTAAAAAAAAACAACAACAAAAAAAAAAAAAAAAATTATTCTTAAAATAATAATTGTTGACGGGCGGGGACGGGCCTGTTTGGATTGCACTTGATTGTTTGAACTGGACAGAGTGATCAGATCTCAGTCAGATCTCACAGTCCATTCTCATTCGCAACTCGATACCGTGAGTGGCATGGAGTAGAAGTATTAAGTGTCATGAAAAGACAAGTCTCATCAAAGACTCAAGTAAAGCACAAGTACCTCAAATCTGTACTTAAGTACAGTACTTGAGAAAATGTACTTGCTAAGCTATGATTGGACATTAAGTGTTGGGAGAAAGCTTTAGCTCAGAGTCAGTTCCAAGTGTAGAAATGGAGTCTGCCCATAGCCACACCAACACAACCACCAAAAGTAGTGTTACATAACTAATAAAGCCCTTTATTTACTGTCTATATAAAGCACTGGGAGTCTGGCTAAGATAATGAAAGTGGGGAAATGCACCGCTGAGTCTCCTCATTGTGGAGAGGATGAGGATGTGGAAGAGGAAAGGGGGCGAGAGGAGCTTCAAACAGATACTGAGGAAGGTGGGAGGGGGGCTTCCTTCGTGCCTGTGGAGCTAAAGGCTGATAGCCTTTTAGTCATTTCAGCCGCAGGAAGAGATAAGACTCAGAACCTGACATCTAACAGCAGTCACCTTTTCCCAACATCACTCAGTCAGTGTGCACGAGAATCTTTAATGTGTCTGTGAATGCTATCACTCACTGATATCCACTACCAGCACTACAACACGCCAACTTTCTCTACTAATCACTATTTCCACTATTCGTGCCGACCCTCCGGTAATGAGAAAACTGAAGCCAGACTGCAGATGTTTGGGGAAGTGATTGACCTCAGATGGGAAGATTGTGATGCTGTTGCCAGAGATGGTCACGTCATTGCACTGGAGTCTCCAAAGCCCATTAACCTAATCTTCACATACACTGATGTCACTTGTACTTTGTTACTCTTTTGTCCCCTATGACACACTTTGTGCCGGCCACAGTGTCTCACATGCCATTAAACTGACTCGCTTTTCAGGTGGTTTTAAGATTTCAGCTGAAGGTAAATCCATTCCCTTTGCCTTACGTAGTCGAATGGCTAAAACAGACGGTCCTCTGTTGAGGGTCAGTCGGGAACACTTTGTATCCTGTAGGCGCACATTTGTAGAGTCCCCTAAAGACTTCCTCTAGACTACCTCTAAGTGAATTCTCTGTACGTTCATTGAATTGCATTCCTCACTCAGCGTCACTCATGTCAAACTTCAGCCAAAAAGGATTAGAGACAAGATGGCAAACCAACTCAGCCTGTAAAACTGTCTCCAATTCTTGTTGCGTTCAGTGTCGAATTCTTTTTATTACCAACCATAAACTTTTCCTCCAGCCGTGAGTCACACACCTCGTCACAGGTTTAACCGTTGACCATGACTCAGCCCCAGGCTGGTACTGAAGGAAACAAAACAAATGTGTTACAGGAACTTTAAGCAGCATTGTTGCGCAGTGATGATTCTCACATAAGATAGCATGTGTGATGCAAAGCAGAGCTGTGACTCTTACTTATAAGAAATGGGATTCCCATGCACTTAATAGCTTTTACTGGAAATCTTTGTTTACATTGGAGGTGTTGCTGTTTTATAATGACACCAACCCAATGTAGAGCAAACGTGCAATATTAGAAACACCTTTGTTGTTTCTACACTGCAGCATTTACCTTCATAAATCTGTCATTTTTAAAATGGGTAGCATTTTACAGCCAATAAATACATATTATTTAACTGGGAAGCAGGAGATTACTATAAACAGCAAAGGCTATTATCATGTAGGTATGCAGGTGGATACAGTTTTATTTTATATGGTGTCAGTGTTGGCATACTGTTACCATAGATACTGTACATGGTGGGCTCTATTTGTTTGAATGCCTTATTGTTTAGGAGTCCAGCTGTTTCCAGCATTAAAGCTGCAGCAATTATTATTTTTTACGTTAACATTGGATTAAAATGATTAAGTGCTCTGTGATAGGTGGTACTGGACCCTCCCAACTCTTATCTCTAACTTTCTCTAGCTTTCAGTTTGTTGTTTTGGTTTTATGGCCCACAACTTAACTGTTTTGCTTCCCCTCTGGTCGCACCACTCTCATCAATTAAACACTTTTTCAGCCACAAGAGGCAGCTGTTTTTTGTTGTTGTTGTTTTTTTTGTTTTTTGATTGAAAAAGCTCTTAAAATTCACTATATACTAGCTGCCCAGCACCAAACAGCAGACAGACACAGTTAGTCTAACTGGTGAACATAG